CACGGCCTTTCAATTCCCCCCAACAATACCAAACATGTCTAAAATGTCCCCCGTCTCTCCCATAACATACCTCACATGCTGGAACGGAGGACAAGTCATCCAATAGGGGCCAAGAGAAGCATGATCAAGCTAATTATGTACAGGGATGGCATCAACAGATTTGTTGTCTTCAAAAAGAGTATTGGCTTACTTTTAAAACGGTCACCATCACAGTGGACTCTTTGATATCAATCAAATTCAAGGCTTGAACAAACCGCATCAGCTCCAGCTCCTTTTACAGTATTCATCAGATTGCCTTAAAAACCTGGGGAGCTTTGCTTGCTCACCCTTCATTTCTTTCATCTGTGGTTAAATATGTAAATAAAATGTCTAAAGTCATTCTTCAAAGGGGAACAAAAGAAAAAAGGGTCGGAGGGAAAAGACAGCCATAAAATTCCTCCGATTCTCCATAACATTAGCCAGAGGGGGGCCAGCTTCCAGCCAGAGCCAAGCAGCGGGGGAGCGAGCAAGCTCCATAGAATCACAGATTGCAAATCCCACACACAAAAAATAAAATATCTTTTCAGCTTCACCCATCAAAGCTCACCGCCTTTTACTTTATTAGTTACAGAATTATCTCACCGTTACTGATTTTTTAGAGATGGAGCTGGGCTACGTTTCCCCCTTAGCTCACAGTTGTGGTTGTAAAGATTACCGGTACGTAAAGTTTCTGATGTGTGTGTGTGTGTGTGTGTGTGTGTGTGTGTGTGTGTGTGTGTGTGTGTGTGTGTGTGTGTGTGTGTGTGAGTGTGTGCGCGCGCGCGTGCGGGTGTGTGCGTGTTACATGCATCATAATTTCTCTATAGGAGTGGGTTGTATTTGAAATCAGGTCCAAGACAGAACGATAAAAAAAAACAAAAATCATGAAAGCGACAGTTGTAGGCTAAATATGCTAAAGTCTGAACAGGCAGCCTTGATTCATGCTGTTTCTGCCTCTTTTTCAAAGCCATCTTCGTCATCGTGCCCAGCACAAATGTCATCCAGAAAGCGAAACAGGAATGAGGGAAACTGCAAAGATGATTCATTATAAAAAAAAAAAATGATGTCTTCTGAAAAAGTCTGCATGTCAGTGTTATCCCGTCAATTCCGTTTTACCAGAGCACCGCTAATCAAGGCAGATGAATGGATAGATTTCTTTCACAATATGTCATGTACACTTGCCAGAAAGTCAGATGACGAGTAAAAGGACTTCCCTAGCCCCGGGAACACATTTTATTACCATCGTTTTACACATGAAAAGTACTTTTGGTCTACTTTGTCACATCAGCCATATGTGAAAGCTCTCGCATAGGGCTGGGACAAAGTAGGCATATCAGCTGTTGTCCTATTGTGAGAGGTGACAATAGATACAAGCCATTATGCTGCCTGTTCCACATGTCCAAAACTAAATGCTTTGCATAGATTGAAAAATTCCCACACAGCAACAAATTGAAAGAGCGTCCATCCATCCGTCTTCTGAACTGCTTATCCTCACAAAACCAGCGATGCATACATGCATGCCATAATGTTAAAATTAGATCTAATAAAGCTTTTGAGGCTGTATGTATCTTGAAATAGTTGTGTAGTCGCTTTGCATCATACTGAGAGGATTTGTTAATGGTTTTGGTCACTCTGATATAACTAAGACATGATAGATAAGTAATCATTTTTACGCTGCATTTGTTACAAGAGGAAATGATTTCATGTCATCTAAGGCAGATATCTCCATCAAATTATGACATTGAGGAGACTATTATCGTTGCTTGGCCGGTCATTACCTGTGGTTAGTGAGAAAAGTTAAAAAGAAGGAATTGGAATGCTCTCTACAAAGTACCTCATGTCAAGGAATATAATGCTGGTGGTTGAGGCACGAACTTGTGCATACAGGACAGAAGAACCCGTCTGCGCCAACATGACCGTTCCTATTGACTCATCAGCCCAACACATTTCTCTCTCGTCCCGCCTCGCTGCTTCACCATCTCCTCCCTCGTCGATGAAATTTCTGGTAAACGGGAGCAAGGAGCGAGGTCCAAGGAATGTGTAATAGAGGAATGAGATGAGCCCATAGTCAATGCCGTCCGCTTGAAGCAACCCTGGTGTATGGTCACTCCCACAAACAAATATAAGACACGAGGCACATGTTTCCGTCTGTCGTCATCTTACGGGAGTCCATCAATGATGGACTGAGCAGGTCCGTCAGTACAGACCCAACTCGTGACGATTCCGGTGACGGACAAAAACCCACCTCGGTCAGTCTTCCCTCACTGGTCAGCAGTGACTACTTATTGGATTGTAACTGTAAAGCTCCGTTTATTTTTCTGATGGAGATTCGGCTAATTGATGAACACCAACAAATGGATTCGAGGAATCTGTCCAGCGAATGTGTTTGGTGGAGTGTGTATTGTTTTCATACGTGTATTCACACCCCGTATATGTTGCAGCTCCACGTGCTGAGCCTTAACAGCTGAAATGCCACTCGTAAGATCCATTGTGCTTAAACCATTTAGGCACACTGGTGCCAGGTTTCTCATCTTGCACCAGCACATTGCACCAGCGGATATGCCTTTCAAAGCACCTGAGGTACTCTCGTAAAAATGCACTTAAAGCTCTGCTGCGACATGTGATCAGTATTTCCATAGCCAATGAATGCCATGGATAAATTATTTTGAGGCTATAAACCTTTCACAAGGTAATGTGAGTGAGCTCTGGAGGATGTCTCATAAACATGCACAAAGCCGTAGACGCGTACGACCCAAGGTCTGACACACCAACCTGGCACTGTATAAGCTGTCTGACACAAAACCACTTCTTTACAGGGCTCATCAAAGTGATGATGTATACTATTTACTTTACATCTGTTCTTAGGGAGTTCCATCCCCAACAGGAATTTAGTTTTCCCTCCTAGGGCCATTCTGAAACCGCAAAATGTTGAATCATCTCATCGCATCATTACTTGTACTCAACAAATTAATGGATTACTACTTACACAAACAGTCAACTATAGTATAATAGTTTATCCAATTAGCGTTCAAGTGAGTGTTAAGAGGGTAACAAAATGATTGCAAAACTTCAACATGATTTATTACACACAATTTGACATTTGCGTCCAGATTTTAGCAAGGATCATGCAAGTTGACATGCATGATTTGCTTTTGCAGGCCGCATAAAATGATGTGGCGGGCTGGACCTGGCCCCCGAGCCTTGAGTTTGACACAGGTACCATACAGTCTCTCACTTGAACAAAGAAGCCTGATTCAACAATATGTTTGCAAGAAATGCAAGAATTTGTTCCTTTAAGGTGAATATTTAATTAATATGTATTCATTTACTATCCTTTACTCCTGAAAAACATTGATAAATGATAATGAAACAACAAATGTGATGAATGGAAAAACACAAACATGGAACTAAAATGAACCTATCTCATGGCACACTTACATCTGTGTTAGGTATTCTGTGGAGTGATTGAAGAAAACATCAGTCAATACCTCATTCTTAAAATGTGTAAATGGGACTTGCTGGGAATGAGGCCGATAGACATTTACGATCCTAATGAGCTAATCGATTCATATACCTTCATTAGCATCATAGTATTAAAAGTATTTTAAATTATTAAAATGAAAGACTAATTGGGAGATATTGACGTGCCATACAAGGGTGGTCATACTACTATATTACACTGCCAAACATCTTAAGCCGACCAGCAGTTATGTTTGCATGAATTGATTTACTGATTATTCTTGAATCACCGTGGAACAACGTGGTGTACTAAAATGAAAATAAAGTGTGTTCTATTCTACTGGCCGGATTCCAGGTATAAAAAGAAATGTCAACTTTTCATTCATTGTTGCGTTACTTCCTTCATTGACAAATACAGGAACTGACTGAAGGTGGAATTTCCAAAACAATAGGCTGAATTAAACACACATCTTCACAACTAGTTTTTAAAGATATCTTCTTTCATGAAACACAGTCTTGTAAATGTTTCCACCAATATTCTTTGATGAGTGACTTGTGAAGTATTTTATTTATTGATATAAGCAAAAACCTAATGATGTGCTTGTTTTGTGCAGCCCTCCACAGATGTTATTGCACAAAATGTGATTGATATTGAATGTGTATCAACCTTTTTTCCTTCTTCTGTATTGTAAAATCGAGTGGTTATGTTTGCAGGAAGGAGAACAAAACCATATCTGTGTTAATTTGAAGCTTGACGTGGAAGGGAAATTCATAAGGGAATACACAAGATTTGTATTATATGAGCCTCTTCAAATGCATGCATGACATTTCCATTGAGTATTGCATTTTTTCATTGCAAGGATCAGTTTCCAGGTATACAAAAAAGTCTGCATTTTTTTTATAAACATCAGCATTCAAAACCCACGATCTACATTTAAAAATAAACAAATAAATAAAAATAAAGAGCAATTGTAATGCTAATTGATCATGTTGAGCTACATTAATGCTAAGATTTAATCAACACTGTCATTAATTGATTATAGTTGTGGTTGTACTTTACAGTGGTGTGTAAATATAGGTATGCTGGAAAATGTTTCTATTCACAATTAATCAATGTAATAATCTTTAACATCTTACTGGAGGATGCTGTACAGTTTAAAATATTGAAAATTAGACATTGTTGAATAAGGAACTCTCTGACAGGACAGTATCAAACTCTGAAAGAGCTCTTGTACTTGTACAAATGCAACTGTGTGCGTGTACTTTAAGTGATCGTATAATAAATGTCGAATAGAAAATATAACGTGCATGGGGGGAAAAAACAGAAAGAGAGAAACACACCCTGTTTCCTCAAAATATTTAAACGCGGCAGTAAATTCCGCGATGCGAATCGGACCGTATTGTGCAATATTTCGGCTTTCTTGTTCAAAATGTCCACATTGTACTGTGTGTGAAGTTTGTAGTCGAGCACATCCAAAGAGAAGAGGCTGCAGGGCCGTTTAAAATGCAGTAATGAACAAGCTGTTCCACACGATTAGGAAATAATTCGCGTGTCAGTGTCATCTTTCTTATGCTAAGTGGCTGTCTTTGAAGGCGGATCTTTTGGCAGGTTGGACCGGGACCGAGGCGGCTCGGAGCAGCTCAGACAAGCGCTGCCACCAAACGCATCAACAGCCCGCCTCCCAGGAGCACAGCCATTCCGTACTACTTGTGGCAGACGTGTGATTTTTTTTACCACCGAGGATGTTTGTTTGAGTCGGACGTCATTGTGACCCAAGGAAAAAAAAAAAAAAAAGCAGGGGAGGAGGCGCTCGACTTGGAGTGTGAGTGAGGCTCTTCCAACTTCTTGCGCTGGGACGGAAAGCACGCCGCTGCGAGACAACGCCGGACGGAAAAGTCGCATGAAACGAGAGGATGGAGGATCGAGTGATTTCACTTGGAATGCATGGCCAAGGAGATTTTTTTTCTGCACACATTTGAGGCTTTGAGAGATTGACTGAACACGCATGCTGCAACTCTTGAATCACAAACAGCGCGCCCGACAGCATGGGCTGCAACGCACTCTTCCTTCTGCAAGACTCTATTTTTGGAACAGAGTGGGATTTGCGTTTTTATTGAAGTTTGGTGGGCAAGGTGGTCTTGCAATTGAAAGCCGTGTAAGTTAAGACACTCTCATCTGGTTTGACGAAAGACTTTGCTGTTGTGTAAGATAACCAATGGTGGACAGTTTTTTTCATTGCTTTTCAACTCCATTCGTAAGGATGTGTTCAATTACAAACCTGAACCTTACACTGTTCATTTTGCTGGTGCTGCGCATCACTGAGAGCTCAGCCATTAGCTCCATTGACCCTGACTGGCCAGGAGAGGGCAAATGTCAACAAATCAGCATCCCCCTGTGTAAGGACGTTGGCTACAACATGACTCGCATGCCAAATCTCATGGGCCACGATAACCAAAAAGAAGCAGCCATGCAGCTGCAAGAATTTGCAACGCTGATCCAGTTTGGATGCCACAGCCATCTTAAATTTTTTCTTTGTTCGCTTTATGCCCCCATGTGCACCGAGCAAGTGTCCAACCCCATCCCTGCTTGCAGAGTCATGTGTGAGCAGGTCAAAGTGAAGTGCTCCCCAATTTTGGAACAGTTCAACTTCCCCTGGCCGGACTCGCTGGACTGCTCACGGCTACCCACCAAAAACGACCCCAACTACCTCTGCATGGAGGCGCCCAACAACGGCTCAGACGAACCTCCCAAAGTCTCGCACACCCAGCCACCCGATTTCAGACTGCACCGGCCCCTGAATGGAGCGGACCTGCACCCGAAGGACACCGGCAGCAGAAAGAAATGCAGCAACCCTGGCAAGTTCCACTTTGTTGAGAAAAGCGAATCGTGTGCCCCAAAATGTTACCCTAAAGTGGATGTCTACTGGAGCCAAGGAGACAAGCAGTTCTCCTTGGTATGGATCGCCATCTGGTCCATCCTGTGCTTTGTCTCCAGCGCTTTCACTGTGCTCACTTTCCTCATTGACCCCCAGCGCTTCAAATACCCGGAGAGGCCCATCATCTTCCTCTCGATGTCCTACTGTGTTTACTCTGTGGGCTACCTGGTCCGGCTTTTCGTGGGAGCTGACAGAATCGCCTGTGACAGAGACAACGGGGTCCAGTATGTCATCCAGGAGGGCCTGGAGAGCACCGGCTGCACTATAGTGTTCCTGATCCTGTATTATTTTGGCATGGCAAGCTCCCTTTGGTGGGTCATCTTGACTCTCACATGGTTTCTGGCCGCCGGAAAGAAGTGGGGTCACGAAGCCATCGAGGCCAATAGCAGCTACTTCCACCTTGCGGCGTGGGCCATCCCGGCCGTGAAGACCATCATGATCCTGGTGATGAGGAAGGTGGCGGGAGATGAGCTGACGGGTGTTTGCTATGTAGGCAGCATGGACGTCAAGGCGCTCACGGGCTTTGTGCTTATACCTCTCTCCTGCTACCTTATCACGGGCACCTCCTTTCTCCTGTCTGGCTTTGTGGCTCTCTTCAACATCAGGAAGATCATGAAGACAGAAGGGGAGAACACAGACAAGCTGGAGAAGTTGATGGTTCGTATCGGGGTCTTTTCTGTGCTTTACACCGTCCCGGCCACGTGCGTCATTGCCTGCTACTTCTATGAGCGACTCAACATGGAGTACTGGCGCATGCTGGCTACGGAGGACAAATGTAAGGACAACAGTGGACAGGAATCTGAGTGCCTTTTGACCACGTCCATTCCCGCCGTTGAGGTCTTTATGGTGAAGATCTTCATGCTGCTGGTGGTGGGCATCACGAGCGGCATGTGGATCTGGACTTCCAAGACCCTGCAGTCGTGGCAGAACGTATTCAGCCGGAAACTACGAAAGAGAACGAGAAGGAAGGCGAGCAGCGTGTTCACCAGCAGCCGACCTTACATGAAACCTCACCCGTCTCTCAAAGGGCACGCTACTAAGTACGAACCCACGCGGCCCCCTCCTACATGTGTATGAGCTGGCTCTTTCCCTGTGTATAAACCCCAGAAAACACTGCGAAACCCTGGCCATGAGACATTTTATTCAAGAGTGCCATGATGTATTTATGCAAGCTGCACTGAATATCATGCAACGTGTTTTGTTGTTGTTGTTGTTGTTGTTGTCGTATCTCGAGCAACAAGAGCTGCCTTTGTTTGGAGAAAAAAAACCTGCTTCTCGTCTGTTATCCTACTGAGGATCCTGGTGGAGAAAAAAAATGTGCTGTTTCAATTATGAGAAAAGGAGCGGAATAACCAATTGAGCTGTGCCATGGGGTTATTTAAATAATGTGCAATAGATGTTTTGCTTTCATGCGACAAAGACACTTGTACTGTTTAGTGGAAGATTACAGACGAAGAAAGGACCCCAGAGACAATGGAGGCAAATGGTCAGAGATGAGTGTTGTGTTTAGAGGCTTTTTAATGGAAATGGAGACTGGCGGTGTCATATATGTTTGAACTGGAGCGAGAACAGCTGTTGAAAAGCAGCCCAGACCTTCTCAACTGCCTTTTGTCAAGCAAATCCATGCTGTAAATTAATTAAGCACTCTGTATTGAAAAGTTGTTCGTATGCGCTTTGGAGTTTTCGGTTGCTGTTTTATAGCACAAGAAAATGTTTGTATGTATTTCTAAAACTGCAGATTTTATTAAAAAAACGTTTTAGTTTTAAATGATGGTCAACTTTGCATTGATTTCCAGCTGGGCTGTTATTGCGGTCTCCGAGCACCCACACAGAAATTGTTTTTGGGTTTTTTTCAGCGTTTGCCTCTGATTCATTTGCAGCTGATGGAAGAGTTCAAATCATTTATCATACTCTGTGCCGCTATGTCAAATACTGCGGCTATTTTTTTCATTAAAAATGTTGAGTTAGTAAAGCAAAAAATTATATGCTCCGTGGCCGCAACATTCGGCACAGAGATCCAAAATAGGATCTGCATCTCAAATTCTGCCTCGCCAGGGATAATGATGCTCAGTTTACACTGGTGCCATCGTGAAATTGTGAATCTAACTATCCTTATTATTGTGCTTGTACTTTGCAGTGGTGTTGTAATGTGCTGCATCGATTGAGAACTGTTTTTGTACTTATATATTTAGTTCAGACACACCCCTATGATTCGGAGCCGTTCTGCTCCATACAACTCCACAATTACAATGTATGAAATATTCAATTTATTGTTAAAACCTTGAAAACGGAACATTATTATACTGTATTTGTCAAGGCCGATTTTTGGTAGAACTTTTGTATTGGATTATATTAGATTATGCTGCTGTGGACAAGTGAGTCTGCATTCCTGAAAGATATTAAATACTGTATCTGTTCAATTAATAAGGCGATTTCTCTCATATACAGAGCATGATTAATTAATTTCCACAAAACCCCCACCAAACGATCAAAAGGTTATTTTTAAAATCGGGACATGAAGGATAAAGTGGTTTCGTTTGGGATGATTATTTTCAACATGAATGTCCGTGCAAGCTTTAGTGTGACTCCTGGGGCGGCACATACACAATTTTGTTTCGGCCTATTCTCACCTTCTTCTCTCTCCTCTCTTGAATGCGTTCGTGTGCGTGAATGAAGGGACGTGTTCAATAATCCAGCTCTCATTCAGTACAGGATTAGACAGTTTGAAGGGTTTGACTTTGAAAAGAGGATGGCCGCAAACCCAAAATACAAAATATCTGTCATCTCTTCCCGTCTTTATCAGCAAAGCGTGGTGGCATTTCTAAAGACACATCTGGTTGGGTTTTAAAAGAGCTATTATTGACCGAAACATGTTCCTAAAGCATTTGGGGTAAACTGAGATGTTGGGAATTGGAGGTGGATTCTCTATGAACTCCTCAAATATCTTCAGTATATTAAATACAACATAGACATTAAAATAACTTGACATGATTAAAAAAAAATTGCATGTAAAAAATAACATTTGATGATGTTGGGCATTTAGAAAAAAAATAATTTTACAGCATCACTCATTTCAAATCGACTGTATGTGAGCGTTTAAAGCTTATGTTGCTTACAGTCCTGTTTTTGGTCGAAGAGAGTTTCCCAAACCACATTATGCTTTTTGTTCCTGAGGGCATTCAAGTGCCTGCATCAACCCAACCTGTTTTTACAGTCAAAAGCACATGACTCACAACTCCACTGTGGCTGAATCAGAGTGCAGCAGCGCCTATTGATACTCTAACTTGGAGGGGGTTGGGGGGGGGGGGGGGAGGAAGAAGGTGTGAGCCCTCCTAAGAGTTTCTACGGAAGGCCACCTGGATAAGAGCCCCCAAGGTGTCTGGAAAGGCTGTAAATATAAGTGACAGTTAGCGCCCCCCCTGCCCCTCAGGGTTCCTTCAGCCATGTAGTCTTCACTTTTTTTCTTCTCTCTTCAAAGGAAAGAAATTTCGCTCAGAGCAACGGCACAAGTATTGCTCTTGAGAGAAGATTCACTTTTTTTAGGAGGGGTCTGTCACAATTCTTGGTGAATTCACTTTTTTTTTAAG